ATCTTAGTCAAAGTTTTTATCAACTTTCTTTAGAGGAAAAATCAAGAAAATTCACTGCATTTACTACTGATAAACAGTATCAGATGAAACGATGCCCAATGGGTTTAAAGACGTCACCTAGCGCTTTCGCACGTCTCATGACTGTGGCAATGTCAGGATTAAATTATAAGCTACACGGGGGGGGGGGGGGTCGTACACGGGGGGGGGGTCGTCTACCTGTTGTTGTAGATGGCCCGAGGTATGTCGGGGCACCAGGGACTTCCTTTCTAGGGTATACCTGGTTCCCCGGCTATTAGTACCCGAGAAGGCGTGCGGTTTTAGTCGGTTTGAGTCCGACATGCCACCGATAGGTGGTATCCGAGGAGATTTCCGCACGGAAAAAAAAAGGATTAAATTATAAGCCATGTTTTTTGTACCAGGACGATTGTACAGTAATAGGAAATTGTCTTGAGACCCATAACAAGAAACTTATAAAAGTTTTAGAATGTTTACGGGAGGTTAATTTAAAATTAAACCCTTCTAAGTGCGAGTTCTTGCGTAAGGAAATAGTTTATTTAGGACACAAGATTACTTCTGAAGGTATATTCCCCGATTCATCAAAAATAGAGTGTCTTCAAAACTATCCTAAACCGCAGAATGTCGACGAAGTACAAAGATTCGTGGCATTTGCTAACTATTACAGGCGTTATATTCAGATTTTCGTTGCAATAGTTTACCCTTTGAATGCGTTATGTAAGAAAGATGTAGCGTTTGTGTGGAGTGATGAATGTGAACGAGCGTTCTTTAGGCGTTGAAAAAGATACTCGTGAGTCCGACTGTACTTGATTATCCCGACTTTACCGATAGTAACAGTTTTACGCTACAGACTGACGCATCAAAACAAGGCTTAGTTGCCGTGCTGTCTCATAGCAATGGAAAGGTTGTCGCGTATGCCAGTCGTAACTTAAAACCTGCTAAAACGCGATACCCAGTGATTGAGTTAAAACTACTTGCTATCGTATGGGCGGTACGACATTTTAGACCTTATTTATATGGCAAAAAGTTTTATATTACGACAGACCATAAACCTTTAATTTATTTATTCAATATGACCGATCCTTCAAGAAGACTAAATTTAGACTATATCTTGAAGAGTACGATTTTGTTCCGTGTAGTGACGGATTAAGAAAACGGAATGTCACTACCCCAATTCATCCCGTGGGTCTAATAAGAGTCGACTAAGGGCGCAAAACCAGCACTGCAAAAAGATGGAAAACTTGACACAAACGCTATAACAACCCGTCTGGCCAGCGTGGTATAGCAGGCCAAAATCTCATTTCTTAGGAGAGGCCTACGTCCAGCAATGGACTACTTCATAGAGTACGTTAAAAAATGTAAAAGTTGTCAAATTCAAAAGCACTCCAACAAGCACACTAAGGAGCCGATGGTCATCACATCCACGGCATCCACAGCATTTGAACGAGTTACTTTAGATATAATGGGTCCATTAGATATAGATAATTGTAACTTCACGTACATTCTAACGTTACAGTGCGATTTAACTAAATACGTTGAAGCTTATCCCTTAGAAAGGAAGGATACGGTTTCAGTAGCTAGGTTATTTGTAAATAATTTTATTTTAAGATATAGTATTCCGAAGAAAATAATTACAGATCAGGGAACAGAGTTTATGTCATCAGTTTTTACTGAGGTATGTAAGTTATTGCACATAAATAAACTTTATTCTACCGCCTATCACCACGAAACTCTGGGAGGCTTAGAGAATACTCATAGGGTTCTAGGAGCTTATCTGAGAATCCAATGTGAAAACAACAGAACAGACTGGAGTACTTGGCTTCCATTTTGGTGTTTTTCCTTTAATACCACTGTTCACACTGAGACAAAATATTCTCCATTCGAGTTGGTTTTTGGTAAAAATTGTAATTTACCAACCAATTTAGCACAAAATATTTACATAGATCCAGTATAGAATCCTGATTCTTACCCGTTAGAACTAAAATATAGACTTCAGAGAGCACATATCGAAGCTAGGTTAGCTAGGAAAATAAAATACGATAAAAATATCAATACATGTAACTATAAGTATGGAGATTTAGTTTTAGTTAAAAATCAAGTAGGAAATAAGTAGGATAAATTATATTTAGGCCCATATAAAGTACTAGAGGACACCACCAAATGTTAAAATTTTAAAAGATGGAAAATATATATGTTATTCATAAAAATAATACTAAGTTATTTATAAAATTGTATTGAACATATGTTATATGTGTATAAAAATAATTTATAGGATAAATCATCTTTATTTTATAAAAAAGTGTGCAGGTGTAGTGTGCGGTTCGCTCTACCTTATATATAACTGCACACATTTATTTATTAAACCGATTGTGGAACCGGACAGTTGTCTATAATTTACCTACAGTTCTATGACACTTGTTAACAGTCATTTAACGCAGTTAATTTTGGATCTAATAAAATATAAAAAATTAACTAGGATTACTGTTGCCAAGAAGACTGATATTGTGGTGATAGACCGATAAGAACACCGCGCAATGATTGTTGATATCGCCGTTGTGGAAGTTGAAAAATAAAGAAAATATTTGGACTCACAACAACCCTCAGCACAGTAGGAAGCGGCGAGGTGACCGCCTCAACCACTACGCCATCCGTGCGTCAGTCATAGATTGTCGATATGTGGAATGTGGATTCGGTGATCATTATTCTCATAGTTGCAGCTTCTTACGGATTAATACGGAAGACCTTAAGAGGCTCACATTGGACGGCTGAATCAAGGGTCTAATGCAAAAGGCTCTTCTTAACACGGCCCTTACTGTGAGAACGTTCCTGTCTTTGAAGTCCTAATTACCAGTATCTTGGTCCCTGTACCCGATGTCGGTGGTCTACTATTTTTTATATTTTTAATTTGTATTTTTTATCGTTTTCAAGTGCAATATATGTACGTTTAAAATATAATCAATATGTGTATTATACATAAAGTTTTACTAAGACTAGCAGTATACCGATTTAACTTTCGGTCACAATACGATATATCGGCGTAACATGTAACCGCTTTCCGTGTCAGGCGGACTACTCACCGGCTTACCCAGCGGAGAAATACACGAGATTACCTCAGGGCGCCTTGTCAAAAAAAACAGAAGGGTGTGCGTGTGGGCAACCTAAGGGACTCCTCAGAGAAAGACAACTTACACCTCAGTCATACATACATGTATATTTCTAATAAATACAGAGTTACAATAAATAAAAAAAAAACATAAAATAGTGGGTATATAAAAAAATTCCGCAGCGGCGCGCGTCAAGGCCGAGCTGATGCTGCTCGGAGCCTCCTCGTCATCAATCCAGCAGGCCACTTCTACACCAGCCCGAGTCGGCTATTTATATTAGGTATAATGGAAGGTTCAATATTTATATTAATTACATTAACAAGAATTACGTAACCCTTGAATAAGGCTGACCGCTTGCTTGGTGAGCCGCGTGACTGCCAGTTTACCAGAGGGTACTGAGAAGCTCGATTACGCACCAGAAGGCCATAAACGAAAGAGCACGCCGTCTGAGATGGTTTGTCTTGACCCGAAATCTGGAGCCCACTGGCGTGGGTACTTAGAACAAAGAAAATATTACTAAAATGAAATTACCAGACAAACAAAATACTACTTAAGATCGGAAGACTAGAATCACCAGAGTGTCCCCTGTGGCTGAAAGCCGGACTTATATATGCTCGGTTTGTGAACTTTCTAGAAAGAATCCCTTCTTTAACATTTTAAATTGTCATTCAAATTATCATCGAGGTTAACACGACTCAATTCAACAGTAACTCGCTTCCTACCATAACAGGACACTTTTAACACCAATACAATTTGTCAGGATAAATTATTACTATGACTTACCAACAAAACAACGCCATCTAGTGGTCCGATGGCGGACGAAAAACATCAATATTATAGTTACAATCTACTTTGGGTAAATCAATAAATGCGACGCGGGGCAATAGATGTCACTTTTTACAACTCCGTACGCAATACAAATATAATAAAAAAATAACTGTTACAAACAACTTAAATGGAACCGATGCCGATAAAAAGCTAAGAGGTTTTGGAACAATACGGTGATACTTAGTTAATTTCTTCGCGTAATTTAATTATTAATCACTTAATTAATGAAATCATGAAAATAAATAGTTATCATAATTTAATACTTAACCTAAAATACACGTGGGTTGACGTTTAGTATAAAAACGGATGGCAGTGGGAGAGCAGATCAAGGTCTCGGATTGGCCGGCACGTCGACCAAGCAACATCTCCGGAGCGCCCGAAGATTTCCGAGGATTTCCGAAGGCCTCCGAGATCTCATTGCACGGAATTTACTCGCGTGCTTTCCGGACCCATGTAGGCCGTGTGTTCGCAATGACGTGCGCCCACCAATGCGGTGGCAAATAAGTACAGCAGATATAATTGTCGGTCCACCACAGCCCAACTCCCTGGAGTTGGTTTTCTACTGAAATATAGTATAGTAATATTATGTCTATTGGGTCTCGTTTGTATTATAATATTTCGAAAACCGTTCTAATTCCCAAAATTTAGTTAATTGTTGGATTTCAGTTGTTCTAGTTGTCATGCTAAGAATCTTCGTATAGTTCTTAGTCATGCGGAGTTACTGCATGTCCCAGATAAAATCCACCCAAATTCTGTGTTTTGAGCGATAATTCCGGCCTGCATTTTTTGTAACCCTTGTAGTAATAAACTACTGTATTCTTGAGTGCCTAATATTATGTCTATTGGGCCTCGTTTGTAATGTGTCGGATCTGCTAGAAGAATGTTTTCTATGCAGTCCGAATGTAGTTGCGGTATGGTTCTTTTTGGTAAAGAACCGGTAAGTTTCGGCAGTATTATAAGCGTTACTGGTAGCTTATATTCACTAGGCAACCATGGTTGTAGTTGGACATCGATACAGTAATTCGATATCTTTGGTTTCTCGTCAGCAATCCCCTAAATTTCGCTTTGTATCTTGCTGCGAGGGTATGATAGTAGTTGTGCTACTTCTTCGGTGTAAAACAATGCCTCAGATCCTTGGTCACATAACACTCTTAGTAATTGAGGTGTGCCGTCGTTCGTTTTCGCTTGCACTAAGGCCGTAGCCAGTAGCGTTATTGTAGGTATATTTATAGTAGTTGTCGAATTGTTCGACATAGTTTTATTCGCCACTTTGCTTGTGGAGGGTTTCATTAAGCTGTTATTTTCAGGCACCTTGGACTCTTTCTTTTTGTTATTACACTCTATATCATGTAACAGAGAGTGATGACCTCGCTTACCACAATATTTACATACTTTAAAACTGTGGCACTGTGTCGATAATTCATGCATTAAGCAATTTTTGCATATACGATTTTTTATTGTTTCTATATTACGTTGTTGCGCTGACAATGCTAAAAATTGCGTGCAATTATGAATTAAATGTTCTTGCTTGCATAGCCAATGTAGTATGGTTTAAAATTACTATTATTACACGGCGCGGCCTGTTAATTTATTTTCTGAAGTAATTGTTAGATTCCAGACACTTCACTCGTTTCTCTAGGAATCTCATCATTCCCCTGAACGATTGAAGTTTGTTAGGCTCTTCTAATTGAGTCTCGTATTTTTCATCAGTTTCAGAATCCCAAATTCGACCCAATATTCTTGTAAGGAATGAAATGAAATGAAAGGAATGGAAATATCTATTTTTTTGTTTTTTCAACGCTTCAAGATTCTCGTTTACTGTGTCGTACAAGGTTCTCAGGTTAAACGCATCGCCCTTTTTTATTTGTGGAATATTCAGGATATTTTCAATATGTTACATGACAATTTGCCTTTCGTTTTTGTATCGTTTTATTATTATTGACCACGTGCTTGCGTAATTCGCCTCACAACCGGTCATGTGCTTAATCAGCTTTGCGGCGTCTCCGCGTAAGCGGGTCTTTAGGTACTGCATTTTTTCCGTAGCTGTTAACGATGTATTCTCATGTATTATTGTTAAAAATAAATCGTAAAATGAATTCCAAGAATCATGGTTACCATTAAATTTTGGAATATTTATTTTCGGAATTTTTACTGTTGAGCCATGTGTGGTATATGCCGACTGTATTTTCTCACATAATTCGTCAATCATGATGTCGTAATCTGCTCTTATTGTGTCAAACATTTTGTCTTGGAAGTAATAATGCTCGATAGCGCCCTCTTCCTCGAACAAATCGAAATGGGTTTCTTCGAGCTTTTGCCATTGTTTTTGTAACGTTTCAAGTAACGTAGTGGAATGCATTAGTGTGTGTGTGTGTAATAGTGTTTTTGAATTTTTTGTCTGATGTAATTGACGGGATACATTTGTAACTTTATACTTCCATGACCTTGTGTTTGCCGTGGCTCTGCGACTTCCGGTTCGTACAACTGCTGAAGTCCTTTCTTTTCACACTTCTCTAGGTACTCCATAGCTTCGGTGTAGAGGTCTCTGATGTCACCAAAATAGTCGGTAGTGATATACCGATGGTTGCTCAACAGTTCTTGGTTTTCAAGGCGGGTGTGGTTGTTGGAGGCTTCAGTGAATATTTCTGTAAGTCGGGCTCGTCTTTTAGAAATGTACTTCAACGTTTTTCTGGACGCCGAGTCTTTCTTTGTATTGGTGAAGATTTGGCTGATGTTTTTGTAGTAAGCTTCTTGGCTTCTTATGAGTTCGTTTATTTCTTGAATCTCCATAGTCTTGCTGCCCCTATCCTATCTTATCCTGACCAACCCAACCAATAACAGGAACGTAAATTGACTTAGCTGCGTTCTTCCTTCTCGATACGGTATGTGCGATTTCTCGAGTACCGGGGCGAACCGCTTGTGGAAGACTGATACCTGATGCGAATGCGATACCGCACGGTAGCAACTAAGTGTGTCAGTGCTTTAACGTACAACAAAACTAGCGCTTGTTTGGAACACTGGCCCGCAATACGTCAAAGTGTCAGTCAGTTAACCTACGGGACAAGGAAACCGCGATTCAACTTAGCTTAAAAGACTGAAGGTCTTTTCAAGGGTCGCTGAATATAATTACTTCGCTCGAAGGACCAAATGTACGGCTGCGGACGGGCAACCGTGGTACACCAATCAGCATTCGTACGTGTAACACTGAAAGCCTATCTAAAATACAACCTAAGTACGTGTATCGAGCGGGTACTGTAGTGAACCAAGCAATACTCGTACGTAACCTACGCCTCATCATCATCATCATCAACAGCCTATACTAGTCCACTGCTGGACATAGGCCTCTCCTTAGAAAGGAGGTTTTGGCCTACTATACCACGCTGGCCAGACGGGTTGGTATAGGGTTAGTTTGGCCACTTCAACGCAAAGTCCATTGCGTGGGGTTCCCCTGCGACGGACGCCAGGGGCGAAGCCGTCGAGGAGTGGGCGGCGTCGGTGGGCCTCTGTTTGCTGAACAGAGGCTCCACCAACACGTGCGTGCGACAGCAGGGGGGGTCGATAGTGGACCTTTCGTTCGCTACCCCTGCAGTCGCCGCACGAGTAAGGAACTGGTGTGTCCTGGAAGAGGTCGAGACGCTCTCGGATCATTTATACATCCGATTCGAGCTCTCCCGGTCCCAGGACCCCAGTAGGGGTCACGCGGCGCGGCGCCCTTCCCGCTTTCTGCGGTGGGCTGTCGCCAAGCTCAACAGGGACCTACTAGAGGAGGCGGCCATTATTCACTCTTGGCTGTCTCCGCAGGCCCCGACCGAGGAGGTCGACATGGGGGCTGGTCGCTTCTGCCATGCGATTACGCAGATTTGCGATGCGGCCATGCCCCGCGTTCGTGGTTGTCGGCCTCCAAGGAAGGAGGTCTACTGGTGGTCCCAGGAGTTGGCGGACCTCCGTGCGGCCTGTGTACGTGCCCGGAGGTCCCTCACCCGCAGTCGGCGACGTCACCGCGGGGTCGGTGAGGAGGTGGACCGGCTTCATGAGGAGTACCGAGAAGCTCGGAAAACTCTGAGGCTGGCCATCTGCCGCGCCAAGGATGCGTGTAGAGAGGAGATGCTGGAGAGTCTCGAGCGTGACCCCTGGGGTCGCCCTTATCGTGCGGTGCGTCAAAAGCTCCGCACGTCGGGCTCCCCCCTTACGGAGACTCTCCAGCCCAGCTTCCTGCAGGAAGTGGTCGAGGGCCTATTCCCGCAGCGGGCGGAGCACACGCCCCCGTCGATGGCTGCATCAGCCGGAGACGACGGAGGCAGCGAGGGTGATGTTCCGCCCGTCAGGGAATCGGAGTTGGGGGCGGCTGTTCTACGGATTCGATCCAAGAACACCGCCCCCGGGCCGGACGGGGTTCCAGCCCGAGTGATGGCCCGAGCCCTCGACTACATGTCGGACCACCTCAGGGGGGTGTTGGACGCTAGCCTGGCGTCCGGACGCTTCCCTGAGCGCTGGAAATGCGGGAAGCTGGTCCTGCTGCAGAAGCCGGGACGGCCTGCCGATTCGGCCGCGGCCTATAGGCCTATCGTGTTGCTGGACGAGGCGGGTAAACTTTTCGAGAGGGTGCTCTCTGCCCGCATCGTCCGGCACCTCTGCGAGGTTGGCCCCGATCTGTCGGACGCCCAATTCGGTTTCCGAGAGGGGCGTTCGACGATCGATGCCGTGATGCGCCTTAGGGCCGTGACCGAGGAGGCCGTGAGCTGCGGCGGAGTGGTGTTGGCGGTGTCCTTGGACATCGCCAACGCCTTCAATAGTCTGCCATTCAGCTGCATCAGGGAAGCGCTCCACTACCACGGAGTGCCGGAGTACCTGAGGCGGCTGGTGGCAGACTATCTTGAGGAGCGAACCGTCATGTACGAGGACCGAGATGGCGTCTTGAGACGCAGGGCCATGTCCTGCGGTGTTTCCGCAGGGGTCTGTCCTAGGACCTCTCCTGTGGAACATCGGGTACGACTGGGCCCTACGAGGGCGTCTCCCCCCCGGGCTGGGTGTAATCTGCTACGCGGATGACACCTTGCTCACGGCCCGGGGGGCTAACTTCCAGGAGGCGGCGCGCCTGGCCGCCACGGGAGTTTCCCTGGTGGTCGGGCGCATTGAGGCGTTGGGTTTGCGGGTGGCCCTGGATAAGACGGAGGCCCTATTATTTCATGGGCCCCGTCGTGGTCCACCCACCGGCGCCTCAATCGAGGTCGGCTCGGTCCTCGTACCGGTCCGGGCCCAGATGAGGTACCTGGGTCTGGTCCTAGACGGTAGGTGGCTCTTCGACGAGCACTTCCGACAGCTTGGTCCGAAGCTGGTGGACACTGCCTCCGCCCTAGGGCGACTTTTGCCCAATTTGGGCGGGGCCAGTGTTCCCACGAGGCGGCTGTACGCGGGGGTTGTCCGGTCCATGGCGCTTTATGGTGCACCGGTGTGGGTGGCGGCTCTGACCGCCCCGAATAGGGCGCGCCTCTGGCGCCCCCAGAGGATATTGGCGGTCAGAGCCATACGCGGATACCGCACGGTGTCCACCGAGGCGGCCTGTGCCTTGGCCGGAACACCCCCGTGGGATTTGGAGGCGGAAGTGCTCGCCGAAGTTTATCGGCGAGTGGCTGACTTCCGGGCGGAGAGCGGATTTCGCCCTCCGCCCGAAGACGTGCGCGAGTGGCGCGAAGCCGCTCGCCGAGCCACCATGGTGAGATGGTCGTTCCGGCTGGAGACTCCATGCGCTGGCTTCGCCGCCGTGGAGGCTCTCCAGCCGGTCATCGCCGAGTGGGCGGGGCGGCAGCACGGGACCCTTTCCTTCCGGCTGACGCAGGTGCTTTCCGGGCACGGTTGCTTCGGAAAGTACCTGTACTCGGTCGCTAGGAGGGAATCGAGTCCCGCCTGCCACCACTGCGACTGCAGTGAGGATTCGGCCCAGCACACGCTGGCGGTTTGCCCCGCATGGGCGACGCAGCGCCGGGCCCTCACTGCAGTCATCGGAGCAGATCTCTCGCTACCGGCCGTAATTCGCTCCATGGCCGGTAGCGACAGTTGTTTTACCGCGGTCGCAACCTTCTGCGAGGAGGTAATCTCGCAGAAGGAGGCGGCGGAGAAGGCCCGGGAGGACGACCTCCACTCGGACCTGATCCGCCGCCGGCGAACCGGGCGGCGGAGGCGCGCTTACCTGCGCCTCATGCCGCCCTGAGTGTGGCCGCGGGTGGACGGGATGGGTTCTCCCCGCCACCCGCATTAGTTGGCCAGCCGCGAGGGGGCGGCGTCCGCGTGTGCCGGACGCCGCCTAAAGAGAGGAAACTTTGAGACGGAGCCCGCATCAGGAGCGGGCCGGCGCTGGGAGGGGTCCAGAAAGCGATAACTACCTGGACCCCTCCTAAACTGGAAGCGCA